GCTGCGCGAGAGAAGAGCCGAACCAAAAGAGCCAGGACTGAGACTCGTCGCGTGGAGCAACCTCCCCACAACCCCGTCCAACCGGCTGAGTCTGAAGTCGGCGAAAGCACGGAATCCACGGGAAATCGCACCCGGGAGAGGGTCGAAGTGGCTAACCTAGTACAGGAGGTGCGAAATCTGAAAGAACAGATGGAGGGAAAAGCCAAATCCCCAGGACGTACGTTGCTGACCGCCTTACCCTTCTCAGACGAGGTTATGGCTTTTAAGATACCGAGTGACTTCAAGTTCCCGGAACAAGCCACGTTCGATGGAACCGGCGATCCCCGCGAGCATTTGCTGAGCTATCAGGCCAAGATGCAGGTTTTGGGGGTACGAGACCCGGTCATGTGTCGTGCTTTCTTACCCACGTTGAAGGGGTCAGCACAAAGGTGGCTGGTGGCGCGGCCCTCAGGGTCGATTCACAACTTTGAAGAGCTGGCAGACCGCTTCATGAGCCATTACGCCGCTAACATTAAGCCACAAAAGGACCTAACTCACTTGGGTGACATCCGTCAAGACGAAGGCGAATCTTTGAAAACCTATCTGGCCCGCTGGCAGAAAGAAATCCAATCCATAGAAGAGGTCGAGGACCAGACGGCGCTCACCTTCTTCATCGAGTCGCTGCGGTCCGGCCAGCTGTACCGAGACCTGAGGGACAATCGGCCGGCCACCTACGCAGAAGCCATTCATATGGCCAACAAGAGGGCCAATACGGAGCATGCTATGAAGTACAAGCGACAGCGCGAAGTCGGCGGATCTGCCAGCGGAAAGAGAACGCGAGCGGAAGCCAAAGAAAGGCGCCCGGACGTGGCTCGGCGACCCGAAGTTAGACGGTCGTACGACCGACCAGTGGTCCACGCCTATCGGCCGATTCCCGAGCGTCCGGTCCACGAGGTACAAGCGGTTGCCCCGCCGACCGACGATCGCGCGACAAACGAAGAGATAGGTAAGAACGCTAAGTATTGTCGTTATCATAAATCTTATACCCACAGTACGGAGGAGTGCTTCTACCTGAAGAAGATCATGGAGGGCATCATCCAGCAAGGAACCCCGCCTCCTAACCAGTGGAGGCGGAGGCCGGGCAGTCGAGGGGATGAGGAACCCGTCGCCGTTGCCGAGAGCAGTCGAGGCAAACAGCCGGTTCCCGAAGAGGAGGAGGCTCAGTGGCGCCAAAAACCGGTTATCAACATGATAGTCGGCGGGCCGGAAGGTGGTGATTCAGCGAACACCAGAAAAGCTTGGGCTCGACAGTTGTACGTCGGGACAGTGTACGGGCGCGAGGAGAACTCCAAAAAGGTGTGTCGAGAGCCCATCGTGTTCACCGACAGAGACTTACCAGCCGGAGAAATACCGCATCGAGATGCGTTGGTTATAGCCATGGACGTCAACGGCATCGTCGTTCGGCGGATCCTGGTGGACACCGGGAGCAGCGTCAACGTGCTATATCTAGAAACCTTCACCAAAATGGGGCTGACTCGAGAACAGCTGAACCCCGTCAAAACTCCCCTCGCCGGCTTCACAGGGGACTCGGTGGAGGCGGAAGGGTCGATCACACTCCCAGTGGAGATTGGCACGTACCCGGACGTACAGAAACTCAGCATGAAATTTATTGTGGTAGACCTGGCCTGCTCGCATAACGCGATCCTTGGCCGACCGGGTCTTGAGGATTTAGGAGCCTTGATCTCAATTGAGCATCTCTGCCTGAAATTCCGCACACCGAATGGAGTAGGCACGGTACGCTGTGACCGAAAGGTCGCCCGCGACTGCTATCTGCAGGCATGCAGAGGGATGGGCAAACGCGAGATGCAGATCCATGAGATCACTGAGAGGCCCCCGAAGAAGACGATACTACCTCGCCCAGAGCCTGCTGTCGAGTTGGAGGAAGTCGAGATCGACTCTGCATGGCCGGACCGACGGGTCCGAATTGGAGTCGGCCTCTCCGAGACATTGAAAAAAGATATTGTAAAGGTGCTCCGGGAGCACCGGACGGTTTTCGCCTGGGGCCCAGAGGACATGCCTGGCGTCGACCGATCAATCATATCGCACAAACTCGCCGTAGATCCGGAGCACCGACCGGTCGTACAGAAGAAACGATACCTAGCCAACGACCGGAGGGAATTTGTGAAAAAGGAAGTTGGCACGCTACTAGCGGCCGGGCACGTCCGCGAGGTTAAGTACCCGGAATGGTTGGCCAATGTGGTCCTCGTACCCAAGCCCTCGGCGTGGCGAATGTGCGTGGACTACACCGACCTTAATAAGGCTTGTCCGAAAGACCCGTTTCCCCTACCTCGGATCGACCAGTTAGTCGACGAAACGGCCGGGTTGGCGCTACTGAGTTTCATGGACGCCTTCAGAGGGTACCATCAAATATTTATGCACCCGGCGGATGAGGAGAAGACCGCCTTCCTGACACCGGACGGAGTTTACTGTTACCGAGTCATGCCCTTCTGACTTAAAAATGCCGGGGCTACGTACACCCGAATGGTCGCCCGGTTGTTCCGACATCTGCTTGGGAAATCGATGGCTGCGTACGTCGACGATATGCTCGTTAAGAGCCGGGAGGAGGATAAGCATGCGGAGGAACTGGCCGACTGCTTCAAGGTAATGATGAAATACAACCTTCGGCTGAACCCCAAAAAGTGCGCGTTCGCCGTCCAAGGTGGCAAATTCTTGGGCTACATGGTCACCAAACGAGGCATCGAGCCTAATCCGGAAAAAGTACAGGCCATCATCGACATGCAGCCTCCTACAACCGTCAGGGACCTACAACGGTTGACTGGCCGATTGGCCGCCCTTAGCCGCTTCTTGAGCAAAGCGGCGGATAAGACCGTACCTTTCTTCGAAGCCATGAAGAAGAAGGAGGGATTCGCTTGGACTGCCGAATGCCAACAATCGTTCAAGGAGTTGAAACAGTACCTCTCAACGCCCCCAGTGCTGTCTACCCCCCAGGTGGGCGAGCCTTTATTCTTGTACCTCGCCGCCTCAGCCAAAGCAGTGAGTTCGGTGTTGGTCTGAGAGGAGGACCGAGTCCAGCACCCGGTTTATTACGTAAGTCGCTCGCTGAAGGCCGCTGAGACGCGGTACACCGTTTTGGAAAAGATTGTGTATGCATTGGTAGTCACCGTGCGCAAGCTGGCACCCTATTTCCAAGCCCATACCGTTCGAGTTTTGACGGACCAGCCGCTCGGAAGCGTGCTAAGAAACCCCTTGTCCTCCGGCCGACTTGTAAAGTGGGCCGTAGAGTTGACTCAGTATGGGATTGAGTACCAACCCCGGCCTTCCATTAAGGGTCAAGCCTTGGCCGACTTCCTGGTCGAGTGCACAGCAAGTGAGGAAGAAAAAGAACACGCCTCGGAGAGCTGCCCAGGCGAGTGGTGGGAAATGCACGCGGACGGAGCGTCGAGTCGACAACACTGTGGAGGCGGTGTCATGCTCATCACTCCGGAAGGGTTCCGGCTATATTACGCTCTGAGATACCGGTTCTCGACATCAAATAACGAGGCCGAGTACGAAGCGGTATTAAACGGCCTCCGACTCGCCAAGGCCCTGGGAGTCGAGCGGCTGCGAATCAAGACTGACTCCAGACTGGTAGTCGGACAGATCTCGGGTACGTGTGAAACTAAGAATGCGAGGATGGTACTATACAAAGAGCGTGCGGTCGAGATGTTAAAAGGGTTCGGGGCTTACGAGATAGAGTACATACCCCGCGCGGACAACATGGAAGCCGACCTATTGTCCAAAATTGCCCTGGAAGGGGTACCGGACCACCTGATAAAAATTTGCCAGAAGGAGGAGCTAAATCTGCCGAGTGTTGAAGAGGCACCACTGGAAGTCCAGCGAGTAGATATCGAGGAATGGGATCGAGGGAAAAATCCCGAAATGTTCTGGATAGAGGACATCCGGCGATTCATAGAAAAAGGTGAGTTACCGGAAGACCCGGGAGTCGCCGCGAGAGTTCGGCGGAAAGCCCCTTCCTTCCAGATCATCGGCGGACAGCTATACAAATAGTCGTTCGGAGGGCCCTTACTAAAGTGCCTGCTTAGACCCGAGGCCGAGAAAATAATGGACGAAGCTCATAGAGGCATTTGTGTCGCGCACCAAGGCGCCCACACGCTCGCCCGGAAGTTAGTCGTCCAGGGGTATTATTGGCCGACCATGATGCGAGACTGCATCGAATGGATGTCCAGGTGCGGCGTCTGTCAAGCATTCGCCAGGAAAAACACCCGGCCGGCTACCTTTTATACACCGGTCACCACTGCTATCCCCTTCGCCAAGTGGGGAATAGACTTGTTAGGGCCATTGCCCGTCGCCCCGGGAGGTCTGAAGTTTTGTGTCGTGGCTATCGACTATTTCACCAAATGGGTCGAGGCAGAGCCATTGGCTACCATCACTGAGTACCAATGTCGACGTTTTCTGTGGAAAAGGGTGATATGTCGCTTCGGCCTGCCCGAGCACATCGTCAGCGACAACGGGCGACAGTTTGACTGCCAGGCCTTCGCTGATTTCTGCCGCCGACACGGTATCAAGCATACCAAGGTCTCGGTGGCGTACCCACAAGCCAATGGGCAGGTCGAGAATGTGAATCGAACGTTGGTCGATGGGATCCGGAAGAAGCTCGAGGACATCCGGGGAAGTTGGGCGGACGAGCTTGACCGAGTCCTATGGGCTTATCGCACTACCCAGCGGCGAGCGACGGGGGAGAGCCCGTTCTCGCTCGCATAGGGCTTCGAGGCCAAGGTTCCAGTCGAAGTAGTCGAGCCCACCCACCGGGTTCGCACCTACTCGGATGCAGCGAACGAAGAGAATTTGCGGATCGAGAAAAATTTCCTAGAAGAAAGGAGGGAAGCCGCGAGTGCACGGATGGTCGAGTACCAACGGGCGGTGAAAAGATATCGCGACCGGAGGACTCGCCCGCGAACCTTCCAGGTTGGCGACCTCGTGTTACGCGATCGACAGGCCAGTCAGCCCACCGAAGGGGGCAAGTTTGCGGTTAAGTGGGAGGGGCCATACCGTATCGCATCGGTGGTCCAAGCCGGAACCTATAAGTTAGAGACTATGGAAGGCAAGCTCATAGATCACATATGGAATGTCACCCATTTGAAAAGGTTCTATCAGTAGAAAAGGATAGGCCGTGTACGTGCTCAAGGATTCCAAAAATCTAAATAAAGCACATGGGTTACAGTTAATCGTCCTAGGGACTCGGCAAGAAAAGATAGGAAACAAGGGCCCAGACCCTTAGACGTTTCCGAGAAAAAGCTTACAGGAGTCGCCTCGACTGAGGGACTCGGCGAGTATTAAGAGAAACGACGGGGCACTGACCCTAAACTGTTTCTGAGATAGAAAAAGCCTAATGGGTCGCCTCGACCGAGGGACTCGGCAAGAAGAGATAGGAAACAAGGGCCCAGACCCTTAGACGTTTCCGAGAAAAAGCCTACAGGAGTCGCCTCGACTGAGGGACTCGGCGAGTATTAAGAGAAACGACGGGGCACTGACCCTAAACTGTTTCTGAGATAGGAAAAGCCTAATGGGTCGCCTCGACCGAGGGACTCGGCAAGAAGAGATAGGAAACAAGGGCCCAGACCCTTAGACGTTTCCGAGAAAAAACCTACAGGAGTCGCCTCGACTGAGGGACTCGGCGAGTATTAAGAGAAACGACAGGGCATTGACCCTAAACTGTTTCTAAGATAGAAAAAGCCTAATGGGTCGCCTCGACCAAGGGACTCGGCGAGAAGAGATAGGAAACAAGGGCCCAGACCCTTAGACGTTTCCGAGAAAAAGCCTACAGGAGTCGCCTCGATTGAGGGACTCGGCGAGTATTAAGAGAAACGACGGGGCACTGACCCTAAACTGTTTCTGAGATAGAAAAAGCCTAATGGGTCGCCTCGACCGAGGGACTCGGCAAGAAGAGATAGGAAACAAGGGCCCAGACCCTTAGATGTTTCCGAGAAAAAGCCTACAGGAGTCGCCTCGACTGAGGGACTCGGCGAGTATTAAGAGAAACGACGGGGCACTGACCCTAAACTGTTTCTGGGATAGGAAAAGCCTAATGGGTCGCCTCGACCGAGGGACTCGGCAAGAAGAGATAGGAAACAAGGGCCCAGACCCTTAGACGTTTCCGAGAAAAAGCCTACAGGAGTCGCCTCGACTGAGGGACTCGGCGAGTATTAAGAGAAACGACGGGGCACTGACCCTAAACTGTTTCTGAGATAGAAAAGCCTAATGGGTCGCCTCGACCAAGGGACTCGGCAAGAAAGAGTTAGGAAACAAGGGCCTGGACCCTTAGTCGTGCCTGCAGAAAAGCCTTAAAGAGTCGCCTCGACAGAAGGACTCGGTGAGCAGTTAAGAGAGACTAGGTTAAAGGACAAAGCGTCGAGCTCAAGTTAATACGAAAAGGAAGAGAAAAGGGGAATTTCATTAAAAAAGGCCCGAAAAGGAGGCCAGCCTTTACAAAAAGGGGGCTATCCCCAAACAGAACAGCCCTAAACTATGGGGGAGGGGGTGTCGACATCAATCCCTTCGACTTGGGCCCCTGCCGTTAGTCCAGTCAGGGGAACAGAAGAAGGGTCCTCGGCCTGAAGAGAGGACTCGGCGAGCTCAGGAGGTGTCGCTGAAGGAAGAGTCGCCGGATCAGAGGCTGCCGGAAGAGCTGCCGGATCCCCAGTCGCCGACTGTCCTTCAGTCGCCGGAAGAGCATCTATCACGGGCTTGAGGCCCCAGCTCTCGGGAGTGAAAGTAGAGTCGCGGACCAGCAAGGCAGAATGGATCTCAGTCTGCGCCTCGCGAAAGCCGAGGCGATAGTCGCGCTCGCCTAAGTCCAGGAGGAACTCGTCACCATCCGGCGTCGACAGCCACTCCTTAGCAATCTCTTTTTGGCGAGCCTCTATCGCCGCCTTCACCTCCGCCTCGAAGGCGGCCGACTTCTTGTACTCCTCAACAGAGGTCGCAGCAATCTTCGCCACCTTGTCTCGCTCCTCCTCCCACTGACGAGTAACCCTCAGCATCTCAGAGTTGTGCACCTCCACCACCTTGAGGTGCTTCGCCCGCTCTTCTGAAAAGGCCTCCTCCGTCTGACGCAGCTTGTTGGACAGAGACTGCATGTCGGTCAAATAGTTCTGCAGCCGCTTACTCATCTCCATCTGGAAGGTGAGGTTCTGTGAAACGGACACGAGTCAGGTAATGAAAGGAAAGGACGAAGGGAAGGTCAAGAGGGAAACACTTACGCGGTACGATTGGCGCAGTGAGGCCTCGAGGATGTACCCGTCCCCCAGAGCATGAGTCGCCTCTACGTCCTTAGGAAGAAGGACGTTAGCACACCACTTACGGACAGAGGAGGTGCCCATCCAGATCTGGGCATCCTCCTCTACCTCATGGCACAGCCGGATCCTTTTGGGAGCCGACTCGTCAGTTTGAACAGCCGGGCGCTTAGAGCTGGAACTCTCTGTCTGAGGAGGAGGTGGCTGTCGAGTGGGCGACACCACTGGCGACGGAGTCAGATCCACCATGTTTTGAGGAGGAGGAGGAGTCGGCCTGGGAGCCGGAGACGGTAGGGAGGAAGAGGCAGCAGCGGTACCGGAAGAGCGTTGGATCAGCCGACGCCTCATCTTTTCGGCTCTGTCTGCCATCTCGGGAGTCGGTTCAAACGCCTCGTCGGAGCTGGAGGAGTCGGAGTCGTATGGACCTGTAAAAAGGAAAGAGAAAGCATGAGGTGTTCCGAGTCGGAATATGGCGAGATAGGAAAAGAATGAGGGGTAACGAAGACTACCTACGGTGGCCGCACCCTCCGGTAGCAAGCCACGCTTAGCCATGGCCCGGACTCGGGACCAGTACTTGACGGAGTACGGCCCGAAGACCTTCAAGAACTCGCCACCCAAGACCGCATCATCGGAGGGAACGACACGTCGAGGACAAGGCTTGAACAGAGCGGCCGGCCACAGGGTCGGAAAAGTAAAAGAAGAAAGGGCAGGGCGGACGAAGAAATAAAGGAGCTTCCAATCCTTGATGGAATCGGACAGCCCCTCGAAAAGCTATCGCCCCGGGCGAGCGGCGACTTGAACAAAGCCCGGCGAGTGCGAGCCAACCTTGTTTACGGTAAAAAGATACCGGAATAGGTCGAGGTCCGGCTTGCACAACCACCAGTGGCAGAGATTGATGAAGCAAGTAAGGAGTCGGTGAGAATTGGGCACTAATTGGCCCGGAACCAAATTATAATGGCGGTAAAAAAGAGAGAGAAAAGGACATGGAGGAACTCGGAAGCCAAAGGCAATCGAGTGTAGGTGAATACCGACACAACCCTCGGGTGGGTCGTAAATTTGCCGGCCCTCCGGGGCAAGGACTACGGCCGAGGGCCCAAGAAGATACTGGGCCATCTCCAGATCCGCCGCAGTAGCGACGAACGGCGGCCCGGAGGGGCGGACGATTGGATCGAACTTGCCCCGCGACCGTATAACGCCACCTGGCAGAGCCGCCACCGTCGTCAAAGGAGCGGGGCTCAGCGGAGTGACCGCCCCCGAAGAAGAGGGGGTCGGAGGAAGAGAAGATGTCGATGGAACGTCCGAGGGAAGTTCCATACGACGGAGGGAAGACGTCAATGGAACGTCCGCCGGAAGTTCCATACGACGAGGAGGAGAAGAGGAAGACGAAGAAGGAGAAGAAGAAGAGGGAGAGGTCGCCTCGGTGTTGTCAACCGAGTAACGACGAGAAGAAGAAGAATGTGAGGAAGAAGACATTACCTAGGTCAGGAAGGAAATTGGAGGAGGAACAGAGTGGCCGGAGAAGCTCGAAGTTGAAACTGAAAAGGAAGACTGGAGAAGAGAGTGGAAAGAGAGACGAAGTGGCTATTTGAAGGGTAGGAATTTCAAAGGGCGGCCACGTGCCACCTTCTCGTTGGAGGGGCTGGAGGTGACGAGACGTGAAGGGACGCCGCATTTAATGCCTCAAAAGGCGGGGCGACGGTTCAGGTCTAGGGTTAGCCCACAGACGGCGCGTCTGCCCTAGGCTAGGGTCGAACGTTACGTGACCCGGCCTGCTAAGCCGGGAGCCCGTAGTGGGCCATGGCCTCTGGGCCCACGAGATACGAGCTGGAAGCTTCTAGAAGCAACCCGGTAGAACCCGGCTCATCAAATGATATCGGCCGAGCTCATGAAGAAATTCCGGTCGCGGGGTCGGCGATCAGACCCGGCGACTCCCTCGGCACGAGGATCTCGCCATAGCAAGACTAGGGGTCAGTCTCATAGATCCGAGGTCGGGCGACAAAATAGTAAGAAATTGCGGGGTCGGATAGAAAAGCACACTGTTTATTTAAAACAATACGAAGATTACAAGGCCCCGAACTCTGCCGGTGCAAACTACAAGAGAAAAACAGAGTCATGGCTTGGCTTCCTTCTCTGTCGACGAGCGGGCAGCCGGATGACCCTCTAGAAAGTATTGGGGGCGGAATGGTAGAGGACTCGGCTCAGGCTCTGGCATCTCGTCCAGATACACGGTCGGCTTCCCATCGTCAATCATTTGTAAAGGCCTCTCCAGAGCGCTCGGCGACATGGCAACGCCAAAAAGCGGAGGAACCTCCCACACCTCTTCCTCCTCGGGAGCAGGATTCCCGACCTCTGGTCTGGGATCCTCCACCACAGGCTCCATCTCCACATCGATAGACTCCCTACACATCAGGTCCAGCATGTCCTGAGGCACCACGATGGGGTCTGAAGCCGAGTCGCCCACCAGACGACCTCCGTTAGCCAGCCTTTTCTGCCTCAACTGCTCCAGTCGAGCATGTTCCTTGTTGCGGATGGACCAGCGGCGATCACCATCTCTGTAACTCATAGCGCCGTGCTTTCGCAAAATGAAGAGTGTTGCGATTTGCATCAACTGTGAAGGGTCTTTATATAGCCCAGTGAAGGCGAATATCTAGCCGATAATTATGGAGGAGACTGGCATAACTGAGCCGGATTGGACGGATGATGAGAATCTTTGTCAGAGATTAGTTCCATCAGATCCGCCCGGGAAGAGCAAGATTCGCACGCCAAGGAAAGATTGGATTTACCCGAGCTATGGGAATCTTGCAGATGTTAGACTGAAAAGAACCTGACGATGTGACCGACTCCTTGACCAGTCGTCCGAATGGGTACGCAACAAAACACGACAAAACACAAGGCAAGACGAAAATAGCGCTTTTATTATTATTATGGAAAAGGAGGGTACAAGAAACAAGGAGCTTATTACAAATAATGAATATGAAAATGCTCCTAAAAAAGATTCCTCCGAGCTAAGACCGACCCTGGTACATAAGGTCACTCGCCAGGCGAGGAAGAGTCGCCCCCAAAGAATCCCCCCGATGGTCGAGGGGGAGAGGGGCAGAACGAGTCCCAGAAAGTTGGCATGAGCGGCGGCGCAATGGGTTCCTCATCATCCGGATACGCCTCCTGGTAGCGGGCGTAATCCTCGTCATCCATAAGGCCCGTGACCGGCCCGTCCAGGTCGTCCAGCGGGATGGAGAAAGTCATTTTGAAAGTCAATTGTTCAGGGACGGCCACCTCCACGAAGGATCCATCTTGAGAAGTCACCCTGGCGGTTGCTGGAGTCGGCGGACGAAGCAAAGGCGGCACGACTTCTCGCTGAGGTGGGGTCGGCGGTCGAGAAGCTGAGGAGGTGGCACCAGCAGGAGATCTCCGGGGAGCCGGACGAGAAGCTTTTTTCTTGCTTTCCCTCTCAGGTCGAGTCCGCTTAGAAGGCAGCGGACGCCGAGGAGACCCGAAGTCAATTTGCTTCCCTTTCAAGGGAGAGCGACCCATGATGAACTTGTGAGGCAAAGAGAGGAGGAAGGAGGCCATTTATAGGTGTCAAGCCTAGATGAAAGAATCTCAACGGCTCCGCGAGATCCGGAGAGAATGGCTGATGATCCGGACGTTACAAGGGGCTATTCAGGGCACGGATACGGTAATTAAAGGAGACGAGCGGTTGCTACTTTTCCAAACCCAGGTTGAAGGACCGGGTATGGAAAAGTGAGGGACTAGTTGATGGGGTAAGGACCCCGGCCCAAGAGATAGGGGCCCAAAGAAAATAGAAGTGGGCCAGCATCGAGAGGAGCCCAAAGAGCAGTCAAGTCGAGTCCAGGAGTCGGCCGAGGCCCAAGCCCAGGAAAGGACCCGGCTCGAGGAGCCGTTGAGGGCATTAAAGGGGGTTCCTTTAATAGAGAGCCGTTGAAGCATTGAAGACAGGACCCGGTCGGGCTGTTACAAGCCTAGGAGAGCCGTTGGTCGACCGAGTAATAGCGTCCAACGGCTCCATATCTTAATTAGCCTTGAAGTCGGCCATTAAGGGCCTTCAAGTCGGCAGAGGAGGAGCCACTATATAAAGGCTCCTCCATTCTTGTAAAAGGCAGACATTCGGACACCCGGAAGAGGGGAGAATAACAAAGAATTTCCGAGCACTAACATTATCTCTGAGTTAGACATATATATTATTGAGAGGTGTATCCTCCGACCAAAGGTTGTGTTGGACCTCCTTGGGCCCGAAAACCCTAAAACCATCACTCTTCACCTCTGCTACGACCAAGTCCTTGAGTGCCTCACAAAGTGTTCACCTCCCTATCCTTCTTATCACTGAAGAAATACCGAATGGTAAGAGGCACAATAGCTTTAAAATTGAAAATGCCCGGATCAAGGAAAATCAATGTAGGGAGATAGTCATGCAAAGTTGGGAAATATGTTAATTACCATATTGCCCTTATTATTAAACAAAAGCAAGTCAATTAACATTTTCTGGTGACATTTAGCCGGCAATTTGACCGGAGTGATCAAAATTGATAAAAATTAAAAAGTTAAGGTACTAAATTGACAATTTTAAAAGTTATGGATTGAAATTAACAAGACACAATAGTTATAGGACCAAAATTGAAATTTTCTCAATTATATTATTACAAAGATGTCACCACTTATTGGATTCCCACTATATCTATCTATCCACACACACACACACACACACACACACACACACACACACACACACACACACACACACACACACACACACACACACACACACACACACACACACACATATATATATATATATATATATATATATATATATATATATATATAATAATAATAACATAAGTGATTGTGAAATTTTCCCGCCCATTCAAAGATAATTTAGTAATATCAACATTATTGGATAAAAGTGTCATTTAGGATTAGTATTTAAAGACTTTAAATAAATGATTACACTTTCTTTTTGAAAAATCATACAACTTCATAATTCTTTCATTTTTCACCTATAAATACAATGGATTGATGACTAAAGAAATTATAATTTTTCATTTTGCACTGTCTCCCTCTTCTTCCCGTTCACTGTGAAATCATAGTGCTGGTGACTCTGCTTCGAGTAGTGTATTAAAAATCATAGTGTCTTTTAAACAAAGTATTTGAATAGGGAATTAATATAGTGTATATCTTATTTTGTTTGGACAATTAGATTTCGTCGCTTTGTCGCCTTGCCATATGTTCCGTTGCCAAGTGTTTATAATATAAGTATTTTTTTTAATCTTTTATAATGTCTATATTTAAAAAAAAAAATTTATTTATTCTATTTTTATTTTTTGTTAATTTACTACTTTTTAGATGTTTTCATTGGTTGTGCAAGAAAATTGGAGTACATCGACAGAATTGGTGTGTCCAAGGAAAATTTCAAAGGACAGTGTTATTATGAATTTCAATGTGGTCACATCATATCTTATCTATGTCATGCTTCAAGAGAAGGACTAGATTTGTTTTAGCTTCATAACATCAAGAGTAAGAAAATTAAATATATATTTTTTATTATTTATATCACTTAATTGAATTATTTGAAAATAACATTTAACATATTTATTTATTTTTAAATATAAACATCATTGGTTACTTCTAGTAATTTGCGTTAGTTCAAAAACAATATATGTATTAGATCTCATGGCATGTGGCACACACGCACGCACGAACGCATGCACGCACGCACACACGCATACAGAGAATTATTAACTATTATTATTTATAAATTATTTATGAACGTATATTATAGGACATTTCGATCGTTTACAGATTTACGAGGGAAAAGAGCTAGAAACACATTTGATTGAAAGAGAATTCACGTATATATCAAAATTAAAGTATTAATTTTTGTTTAAAATTTTATTTGTAGTGTTTCTATTGTTTAACTTACTAATAAATAAATAAATATATATATATATATATGGAAAATTGCATCTTTGGTCCCTGAGTTATACCCAAGTTCCGAATCAGTCCCTGAGTTATGAACGTATGCATTTTTAATCACTCAGTTATGAATGAAGTGGCGCAATTGGTCCCGACCGTTAAAACTAACGGAAAAATTAAAAAATATTTATAATCTGAGGGGTAAAGTAGGAAATTTCCATTCTATTTTCCTTCTTATATCAAACCCACTTTCACAACATTATTTTTCACTTCTTAGCCTCTTATTTCAAGATTGTTCAATTCTAAAAGCATTTCAATAACTTTAGTATGACTTGTTAGGAACCTGGCTCTCGTATAACTAACTTAATATTTAGCACAAACAAAGAAACACTTTATCAGTGTCTTCAGATGTGTGAAACACACTATCCTATCAATTTTCAATTTTCTTTACTAAGCAACAAAAGTAATTAGAACAGAACTTTTGAGATACAAAATAATGTCAAATTTCTCAGGTTGCTTTTATTAGAAATTTACCAACAGAATAACTAGAGATTTTTAGTATGTAAAATTTTTTCATATGCAACAATCAATAATCGTTTTTAGAAATTACAAAACTTTTTAGAATTTTCATAATTGAGTCTTAGGTTCCTCATTGATTACTCTAGTTTTTAAGAAGACAGAGGAGGTGATGGGTATATATATAATATAATTTTCATATATTATCAGGATATACAATTCTTGATTGAATTACTGCAGAGCTTACGAAAGAATTTTACGTACTAAAAATCTCAAGTTACTCCCCTGGTGAATTTGTCATAAAAATAACTGAGAAATTTGATATCTTCTTGTATTTCAAAAGTTATAGTTTGATTATCATTATGTTTAGTAAGGGAAATCATAAACTTTTAGGATGGTGTGTTTTACATGCTTGAAGACAATGATTAAGTGTTCTCTTGTTTGTACTGAGTCGTCATAGGTTCTTTATACGAGACTCAGGTTACTAACTGATAGGAATATTTTTGTAAGTTTTGATGAAGCCAAATGTACTTTAGATCCCCTTAGTTTTTAGGTCTTTGAATACAAGCATCATAAATCAGAATAGCGAATCAAAAGGAATCTACCATAGGAAGAACAAAATTAATTTGAGAAATTAATTTTAGTCCTACGAGTATTCATCCGAGAAAGAAGCATAAAGGAATGGCGTTGCAAAGAATGACCGGATGAGCCTAACGGCGAAATGGTAGAAGTCTTTAATCAAAACGATCACACCCGAGATTGATTTCCCCCCCCCCCCCCCCCCCCCCCCAAGGACTTAATTTTTGCAAATCAAGTTTTCGGACAAGCACAATGATATCAAAAGGAGCACGATGTGTGCTAAGGAGCACAATGTATCAAAAGGAGCACGATGTGTGCTAAGGAGCACAATGTTCTAAAGGAGCAAAATGTTCTACAGGAGCACAATGTGAACAAGCACGATGCGTCCAAAGGAGCACAATGTGACCAAATCAGAAAAGCACAATGTTCAAGTCAAGGAGCACGATGCTCAAGTCAAAGGAGCACAATGTGGCAAAGAAGCAAGATGATCAGAAATTGGACAAATTCGAAGGAATTTATTCTAAGTCTACCCACATGCCACAAGAAGCCAAAATTGCTTGAAAGACTTTTGATCAGAACGGAAAAATATCTATGAAAGAAATGAATATAAAAACTTATCCTAGAAATAAATTCTATCAAATGAATTTATTTCAAAGATACGTTGGATATTCAATATGACAACAAAATAATATTTTGAACAAATCAATTGGAGATAAGATATTATCTTGTCAGGCAAGTTGACAATCAAATCAAAATTGAAGACCTACTATTGTCAACAATATCAGGCTATGAAGATTCAAATTTCAAATATCAAATTATCCCACTCCAACGGATACATTTGATTGCCTATAAAAAGCCATGAAGACTTGAAGACAGAAGCAGAGGTGCACAAGATAGACACGAGATAGAAGTGCAATACACACGAAAATTTAAAAGTGCAAGTGCTCAAATATTCTTAGAGACTTAGTCTGAATAGTCTCAAAAATCTAGTTGGAGAGAGATGCAATTACCTTTGTATTTGTAATTGTAAAAAGAGTATAGCTGTGTGCAAAATACTCTAGTGAGTGTAGCTGTGTGCAAAACACTCGTAGTTGCTAAGTGTAGCTGTGTGCAAGACACTTAGTTGGCGTTGAGTATAGCTGTGTGCGAAATACTCGGAGTTGAGTGTAGCTGTGTGCGAGACACTCGGAGTTGGGTGTAGCTGTGTGCAAGACATCCGGAAGAAGTGCTTGTGTAGCGCTTATTCACTATTGTAACTGTGTGTGGAAAATAGTGAATTACTCCTAGAAGTGAATGGAGTAAAGTGGACTAGGAAGATTACGCCACTTCCGAACCACTATAAATTGCCTCTCTCATTTACATACCGCACTTACATAATTTGCTCTATCTATTTATCTTATCCGACTAACCCGTTTACTATTCACAATCAATCTAAATCATTCGGGTTCAGTGTGTTTTCACGTATGCATGTGACTCAAACTTCTCGAGCTTAAATATTGAATCATTCTAAGCAAGTTTGACGTATTGCATGTAACATTCGATACACGGTCGACGTGATACGATATTTATTTACAATCTTGAATATTGTTATTATATATTGAGTGAACCATCTCCTTTATATATTCAAAATACCTCTGTTACTTTATTCTATCTTACATGCACATTTAATTCATTAATTGGGCATAACTCTTTACATACTACCTCTTTCGCTGTGCAGTCTAAACTTACTCTATTTTACTTGATATTTAGAGTTGAAGTTACCAAAGAGTTATTTATTTTGAAAAAGCTTGAAAGTCTATTCACCCCCCCCCCCCCCCCCTCTAGACTTTCACCACCCTATCGGGACCAACACTAACAAGTCATACGAAGATTATTGAATTGCTTTTGGAATTGAAGAACCTTGAAATATAATGTTAGGAAGTTGAAAATAATGTTGCAAAAGTGATTTCAATATAAGAAAGTAGATAAAATGTGAATTTCCGACTTTACCCCTAAAATTTTAAATATTTTTAAATTTTTCGTCAGTTTTAACGGTCAGAGACCAAATGCGCCACTTCGCTCATAACTGGGGGACTAAAAATGGATACAGTCATAACTCAGGACTGAGTCGTCACTATCATTATAATTCAGCCCCCCCCCCCCCCCCCCCCCCCCCACACACACACACACACATAAAAACCCATATTTTGTAGTGTCCTCAACAACCGAGTAGTGGAGATTAGAGTGCGAGTATTATGTTGTGGCGTGTAATTAATGCCAACTAAATGCTATTTAGTACTCCAATTCCTATATAAGAAGGGGTAGTAGGAGCAAGTGATTTACAACAAAAGAGGGAAGAACGAGAGAGTACACAACACACAAAGATAAGCACCTTTTTCTTGTACGTTTTATCCTGGGAAACCTAGGCCACAATGCTCCTAGCACTTTTGGGAGGTGACAAATAAGGTTTTAAGGAAAGAAAGACATTTTGCCTAACTCGTACTATTCTTCATCCTTCTCCTTCTTTCTTGTTTTTGGATTATGCTTTTAAGCAAGAATCCGTTCTTCTCTTTTGATATATTTGTTGGATTGGACTTATAATCTGAGGATTATTAGTTCCAATTTTGGTTAATATATATTGGTATATTTTTTCGTAGATATATATGTATATATAACCGTTAGTTCCGTTATATATATATTTGTGTGTATATATATATATTTCGGATAAATATCGAATAATATTTTATATATACTTGTGGGTGTATATATAAATATTATTTTGTGATATTAAATCGATTTTGGTTCATTATAACCAACAAGTTGATCACTATTAACTTTTTGACTTGGTTAAAAAATCAATATAAGTGTTTGATTCTAACTTTTTATAATTTTAAAATGTTAAAATTCAAAAAGCTACTCAAAACAATTTTTTCAATTAACTTTTTGAGAAAGACAATTATACCAAACAGTTATCAGTTAACAACAAATTTACCAAATAGTCTACCGCTAATTATACTCTCTAATTAACTCAATCAATTATCAGCTATCACCCAAACGCCATTTACCGACCACGGCCAATTTAGGACAACGAGTGCTGACAAGTGACAAGTGATATCGATCCACCATCACGGAATGTAGTGATGAAACTTACAGCCATTACTTTAGATTGATGGAAAGCTGAGCCAAATCTCGAATAATGCCTCTGCTGGAAAACTGTTCATCTGGGGAAGGCGCCTTCTTCCTCCATAACAACTGCCCACCACCACGCCTTGTTCTCCCTCGCGTGGCTCAACTCATCATTCCATGGAGAATTTCCAAGGTCAGAGCAAAACCCACACTTCAATACCTAATATTTCATTATGTATGTATGTATGTATGTATGTATATACAGTCTGTCAAGAGTCAAGACTCAATCTTTGCTCCTCCATGATATCCAGGCAGTTTAACGGAGCATCTGGTTGTGGTGGATGGTGGTAGCGAAATCAAAATCCGGGTTAGTGGGCTCACGAAGGATTCAAACAATGGCGTCACCGTACTCAACAAGGTCAGCCTGGATATACCCAGAGGTGTAATCGTGGGGATTATTGGGCCGAGTGGTAGCGGAAAATCAACTTTCTTGAGAGCTCTCAACCGCCTATGGGAGCCTCCTTCTGGCACAATCTTCTTGGATGGTAAAGATATATGTGAGTTGGATGTGCTGAGCCTTCGCCGCCATGTTGGGATGTTGTTTCAGCTCCCTGCTCTTTTTCAAGGTACTCTTTTTCTTATTGTTCTAGCTACTAGCTAGCATCTTAAAACAGATCAATTTCAGTTACCCAATTTATTGCTAGCATAAAGTTTGAGTGAGACTTTAATTAGTTCTTGTTTAGCTTCAATATGCTGCAAATGATATCATAGCATATACTATATGCTTCTGTGTATTTGATTTTTTCTAGAAAGTAGAAAATGATTGTTCATTGCTCGCAGCACCTAGATAGCATCAAAGTATGTGTGTGTGTTTTTAGAAGGAACTTTACTTGCCCACAAAATGCGAAATTTCCTCTTGACTCGTTGGTTGGAGGACCAATGCCTAGTGCCCACCCACTATATGCTGGCTGGGCTCGATCCTATGTGTCTGGAAACCAACTGAGCTGGCCGTAACTTTACTGGGAAGAGCTGGATATGAATTTCCATTGAAGGATTTTGGTGGCAATAGTCCCTTGAGCTTTATCAAAATTTGAGGGGTAATTTTAGCTGTAGGTTCTATTAAAGAAAGAAGAAAGGAAAGAACTGGAGTTAATGCTAATGGAATCAAATTAAAGTCCATACTTCTATCATATCCTCAGATAATAATGGCCCTGTTTGGTAAAACATTGGCCTATAGGCCAATTTTAGCTTATTTGACCACTATTAATTGTTTGATTTAGTTAAAATATAATATAAGTGTTTGGTTAATTAGCTTTTTGCAACTCCAAAAGCTAAAATTCAAAAAGCTACTCCAAGCAACTTTTTCAGTTAGCTTTTTCATAAAAGAAATTATATCAAACAGTTATCAGCTATACCAAACACTTTTCTACAACAGCTAATGTTATCAACTATTTATACTATCACAGCTAACAGCCATTTACCAAACAGGGCCAATATCAGTTCGTTTTGCATATATTGAATCTGATTATATGTAATACTTTTTTAGATGTGGCATTACTTGGAGTCAAGTAATTTATTGTGGTAATTATGCAGGCAGTGTTGCAGATAACATCAGATATGGACCACAGTTAAGAGGGAAAAAACTTGGTGACAATCATGTCCACAAATTGCTTACCCTTGCTGATCTCGACTCCTCTTTCTTCAACAAATGTGCTGCTGAGTTATCTGTTGGTCAGGCTCAAAGGGTTGCACTTGCTAGGACCTTGGCTAATGAACCACAGGTACGGTGATGCAAAGTATGTTTGTTTAATTCACAACAATATAATGAAAATTTTAGCTGATTAGAACCCGGAATTTGTTCCAATCTTTGAAGGTTCTGTTACTAGATGAGCCAACCAGTGCACTGGATCCCATATCAACACAGAATATCGAGGATGTGCTTGTAAAGCTGAAGAAAGATCACAACATGACAATTGCAATCGTCTCTCACAGTATCAAACAAATACAGAGAATTGCTGATATGGTTTGCCTTCTTGTTGGCGGTGAAATCGTTGAAATTCTAAAACCCGATCAACTCTCTGAAGCTAAGCATCCCATGGCACAAAGGTTTCTCCAACTTAGCTCCTAGTTTGTGTTACTGTTATCAGCTCACTATTTTATGCCCGGGTTTGATAGAATGATAGGTACGAGTTTGCCATGTGACTATAAGTGGAACTATTTCTGGTCTCACATTAGTTGAGAGTAGAGAATATCTCATCTTTCAAATGCTGTTGGTAACTCATTTTTTCAAAGTAAAACCATGGTTCATTAGAATGGATGTTTTACATGACTGAAATGTATGAATCATCAAATTCAAAATAATTTCATCTATTACACATTATTGGATGTCAATGCAAACACACACATATATATATATATATATATATAATATATATATTTCCTCCCGTCAAGCCGTCAAGCCATCAACATGAGGAATAGATTTGAGGAGACTGTTGCTGCTAGAATACCTGCACTAACACCCAAAGCTGTACCAACACTGGAATCGTCTTGTGTTGGGGCATCCGAAATTGGTGCTTCACCGGAACCTGGTGCTTCACTGGAAACTGGTGCTTCAGTAGGTGTGAGAGTATTTGATGGAGATAGTGTTGGAGGGGACAACATCTTCCTCGGGCTAGGTGCTTCAGACGTGGTCGGGCTAGCAGGAGGTGTGTCGGTCGGGCTAGCAGGAGAGGTGCTGGTTGGGCTAGCAGGAGAGGTGCTGGTTGGGCTAGCAGGAGGGGTGCTGGTGGGGCTAGCAGGAGGGGTGCTGGTCGGGCTAGCAGGAGGGGTGCTGGTCGGGCTAGCAGCGGGGACCTTGGCCGGGCTAGCAGCGGGGGCCTTGGCCGGGGGGCTAGCAGCGGGAGGCTTGGCCGGGCTTGAAGCTGCATCAACTGGAGAACTTGCGAGAATTGAATTGCCAGAGGCAGAATTTGTATTGTCAATGGCCGCAGCACAACTGACCAGAAAGGTGATGGAGAAGAAAATGATCTTGGAATTCATTTTTGGGGGTTTATTTTCTTTTATTTTTGTTATTTTTTTTTCTCTTATTGTTTACTCTTTTTTTTTTTTTTTTGCGTGTGTATGTGGTTTGAAGTTCTTGGAGAGGGTAGAGGTTTTTATAATGAAATTTGTTGGATTGAGAAGTGGGAAGTTAGCAGTGTTGTAGGCTTATTTGCAGAGAATCTGTTTGGGAAGAATGGTGAAGAGAATTTGGTGGTAGATTTGTGAACATGTCATATTTCCTATTAAATATGTGATCCGTAAAAATTATAAAGTTATTGACTATTAAGGTCTGTGAATTTGTCATTACCCAACCATATATTTTTTTATTATTATTTGTTGAATGGGGTAAAACATAAAATACTAAACATTTAATCTAAATATCTAAATATTTAAATATTTAAATATATATACTAAAAAGTGAAATTCTAAATTAAAGTGGAAAACATTAATCCATAAGTTCTAAAATGTGAATTTTAAGTGTATTGCACTCTCATATTAGGTCCAATCTATAGTATTGTTGGGTGTATTTTAAAATATTATTAAATAGTGGCGTTTGGTTCACGAATTGTAATATTATCTTAAATAATAGGATTATTCCTTTAAGAGGTAATGTGAGATTTTAAGATGGTAAGATTACTTTATCTGTTTGGTTTAGATTGTTATAATACAATATTAACTTGTTTTGTTAAATGTTATATTTTAGATTATATGGAATAAATTAATATAACATCTTAACAAACAAACAAATAAATAAATTATATATATATATATATATATATATATATATATATATATATATATATATATATATATAGGTCAAAGTACCTAAGAGGTCCCTGTACTATTGTGTTTTGTTCAATTTAGTCCTTACACCTTTATTCTGTTTAATTTAGTCCCTGTACTTTAAAAAGTGGTACAATTAAGGACAATAGTTAACGGTGTTATTACCGTTAACTTAGGTTACGTGGCATTGACATCATCATTGTCACATCATGATATTTATATTCTTACTCATATATTACTTTATAAATATTTAAACTTAATTACTTTTATCACCAATATATTAAACTAGTATGTCCAAAAAAAATAATTACAACCGTGTTCCTAATGCAATTTGGACACTTGATGTCAGTATGCTTGTAATTATTTATTTTGGACATACTATTTTAATATATTGTCAACGCCACGTAAGCTAAGTTAACAGTAATATTAATACCATTAATTATTGTCCTTAGTTTCACCATTTTTTAAAGTAGATGGACTAAATTGAACATAATAATGGTACAAGAATTAAATTGAACAAAACATTATTGTACAGAGACTTTATAAGTACTTTGACTATACATATATACAAATCTAACCATAACAAATAAAGTTAGGCCCTTAACAGGAACAAAAAAATGTGGGTGTAATTGTTTGTTGAAATGAAGGGTTCATATTATTTTGATTTTAGTATTTTTTTAATGATCTTCCTTGTTTACCCTCTATTATATTATTTTCTTCTCTTAAATAACTTTACATTCCGTTAGAATAAACTTTAGTAACTGAATATTCCGTTAACTATTTATAATTCTTAACTTACTCTTTAATTTCAGTAAGAAAAGTCTTAGGTTTGAATCTCATCGCAATCAAAGTAAGCATAATTGTTAAACATATACTACGAATATGTTTAAAAAAATACAATATAAAATTTAACATAAACTTTGTTTAAATAATTAGTTCGACTAAATGTATAACATTTAACGTTGAACATCAAAGATTATAAATCAAGAATCTTGAAAATCATTTTCTTGTATTTAACAAAAAAAAAAAAAAAAAAAAAAAAAAAAAAAAACCAAAACAAAACAAATTTAGGTCCCTACTGATGACAGTGTCGCAAAAAAAAAAAAAAAAAAAAAAAAAAAAAGAGGCTTTAGGGAGGCATAAGGGGGGTTCATCTATCTTGGTGAATCTTTGAATTTTGGGAGTGCTGATAAAGGAGGAATAAGGAAGGGTCCATCATGCTTGATGGACCTATGGAATCTGATCAGATGAGGAAGTAGAAGAGGGAATGCTGGTCTTCAGGTATCAGGTCTGGAAGTCTGTTCTGAAGCTGGAAAAAAGATGGATGATGGTCCTGAAGGGAGGTATAAGAGTGGTTTGTAGGGAAGAAGGCTGCAGCTCCAAGACAAAGCTCTTAGAGTGGAGTCTTTGGGCTGCCATGGTGCTGATCTTGCTATGAGAAATGATGCACCATGTCAAGCTTGGGGGGTCCTGAGCTCTGAGCTGATGGAGCTGGTAAGCAGGAGGAGCATAAGGATGCAATGGGAGTATAAGGAGGGTCTGCCAAGCTTGGTAGACCTCAGAGTTTTATGAGCTTTTTGATGGCCCAATTCAAAGCTTGGTAAAGATGGAATCTCTGCAACCTCCTAAAGCTTTTAGAGTGGAGGGGGGTTGCAACCATGAGTCTGATCCTCCCTTGGGAAATGATGGCTTATGGTGGTTCTGTAAGCTGATGTATGTACAGAGATGGAATGAGATGATGCAGGGTTCCTGAAGGGCTGCAGTTCTGATCCAAAGCTCTAGTAGTGGAGGAGATGACTGCCATGAGATAGATCCCAAGTTGGGAAAGGATATTTCATGCTAGAGCTTTTGAGTTTCTGCCATGAATCCTTGAAGGAGCAGAAAAGCTGGAATAAGGGATCTTGGCAACAGGTCTGGAGGGCAGGTATCATGGCTGTATCTCTTTCTTGTATTATTTACTTGGCATGCAGGTCGAGGAGGGATAAGGAGGGTTTACTTTGTGAGGTAAACCTCTGAGTGTGGAGGAGAAATGGCTGCAGAATAAGGCCATGTTTAGGAAGTGGAATGGATGCAGGTCCAGTTTAAGGCTCTTAGAGTGGAGGACTGATCTGCCATGGTGATGATCTCACCTTGGGAAATGATTCATCATATGCTGAATGAAATAAATGATGAGGCTTGAGATGAAACATGCTGAGTAAAATAAAAGGCAGATTGATTCATTAGGCCTGGGATTTTGGCAAATTATGTTGTGCATCGGTATGCACCAAGCATGGTGCATACTGATGCAAAAACGACGTCGTTTTAATAAAACGCGCGTCTCCTGTAAAAAAAAAAAATCAAGTTCAAAACTATAATTCCATAATCGATGAACTATAATTCCATAATCGATGAACTATATTTCCATAATTGATGAACTATAATTCCATAATCTAATCTATGAACTAAAAATTTCAGAATTGTTGAACTATAGTTCCATAATCGATGAACTATAGTTCCATAATCGATGAACTATAATTCCATAATCCATGAACTAAAATTCCATAATGAATGAACAAAATAATGTTGTTACTAGGAATCGAACCTGAATTTTTTAAAATGGAAGACGCGCGTTTTTAATAAAACGACGTCGTTTTTGCATCTGTATGCACCATGCATGGTGCATACAGATGCACAGCATAACTATTCTGGGATTTTGATGATGATGGCCGAATGGGGTTATGAGAATTATCTACTGGGTTGTGCTGAATTTGGGTACCATGAGATGGGCCTTCTGATTTAATATGGCCCAGGTGATTTAAAATGGGTCAGGTGAATTCTTGAAGGCGTTTGAGTGAAAATGGGGCAGATTTGAGATGGCTTTGGCCTTGGACCTTATAAGATGAATAATGGGTAATTATTGATGGGCCTGAAATGATGGACTGGTGGAATTAAAATGGGCCTCGAAGCAGAATTAATTTGATGAGCATCTCTTTTAATGGAGCTTGGAAGTGGGCCGAATGGATGAGATGGTTTTGGTTGTATGCGCCTGGAATTATTGTTAAGCTGGGCTGTGAAGTGTTGATGAGAATTGGCCGAATGGGCCTTTGACAATTATGAGAGAAGCTTTGGGCCTAAGCCTTATGAAGCCTTATGATGCTTAGATCGTGGAATTAAATCCCATGAATGGGGTTGAAAGAAGATGAGCCGAATGATATAATAATGGTGCATTATTTAGGCAAAGCAAATAATGAGGAGCTTAATGATGCCATGAAATAGATTCCACTATGGAAAATGATATTTCATGTATGTCATGTAATTTTGGTGAAGGAATAAGGGAGGTCCACCTAGGTGGGTGGACCTCATGAGGTGCTTTGATGTGGATTTAGCCCGTGAGGGCCTTGTGTAGATAGACTAGTTTTAGCTAGTTGATTTTAGACTTTGTCTTTGTTGATTTTTAGACCTTTGTTGTGAGCTTTAGACCAAGTTTTGGTCCTTGTGTATAAGGC